GATGAAAAAAGTGAGATGGGAAAAATATCGATCTTTACCGAACAATTTTGTATCTTCACTGATGTAATTCAAAAAAGGAATAAAAAAATTAAAAAATATTAAACTTTTTTTTTCAAAAAAATAATTAAAAAAATGAAATATTTACTATCGAAGACTAATCAAGATTCATCATTATTAATTAGATTTCACATGCATACAATAAACCTAATTCATCCAACCAAATCCAAAAATACAATACACAGGTTGGAGACTATGGAATTTAAAAAAACTACTCTAACCAAAATTTCAATCAAATAAACTCTTTTGCTTTATAATAGCCTTTTTTATTATCTATAAAGGTAAATCGGATTAAAAAAAGATGTGAAATTTTCTACGAAGAATAGAGATAATGTTAAGATAATATAAGAGATATAATTAAAAAGAGAATATAGTTAAAAGTGTATGCTTAAAATTTAACGTCAAATTAACATTCATCATTCTTATCATCTTATATAAAACTCAGGTTCTCTTACATATTTTATTTATAGAAATTTATTAAATGTTGTTCAATAAAAAAATAACGTCATGAATTGTGGATTTAGAGCTCTTGGTTAAGCTTGTGAACTTTTTAAAAATAATTCTGGTTCATAATGTCTAAGTACCAAATAGAGATATACTTAAAAAAATAGTTTTTAACATTCAACTTAATAAGAATACAAAATCATAATAAAAGTATGAAGAGAAGACAATTCAATAAATACTTTCTCTAAATAATGTTTATTTTTACAGTCTTTGAATCACCAAATATAACAAAAGACTAGATATTATTTTTTATCTTTTTATTGCACTCATTTTTACTAGATTGTTTAGTGGTTAAGTGTGAACGAGAGAAAACGATAATTGAACATTATGTAATATTTTTTATTTATAAAATATGTTCATATGTGATGTTTTTTATTTATAAAAAAAATGTACATGTGGTATTTTTTATTTATAAATTGTTCGTGATTTATAAAAATAAAATTACATAAGATAGACATATTCTTAAATTAAAAAATATGACTTATTTTCCTGCAATTAGAATCTAATATTAAATCATTCAGACAGAATAACACATTGATAAAAAGAATATAAACATATATGAATGCATATTAAATTATTTCAAAGAGAATATTAACACACAAAACATACCCACGTCACATGTGGTGTACAACTAGTTAAATGATATCAACTTAGTTTTATTGTCTTGATTGTAACATGAATATTTTTTAATTTTGAAAAATACATAAAAATTAATCACAGTAAACTTAATTGGTCTCCTGAATAAAAAAATATTGTAAAAATATAGAAACTAAAGTAATTTTAGTTTTTTTTAATGGGATTGGAATTTGACAAATACTACAATTTTTATGTAGGACACTTAGAAGACAATAGCATCTGCATGTTCAGCGTTGTCTGAATAAAAGGGAAACAACATTTCTTATCAAAATTAGAGGAAACAAAAAGGTTACATTTACGAGTTTAACTTGTTTTTTTCTTTTAAATGCTGAAATGACTTGAAATTTTATTTTTTCAATCTGTTTTGACTGATCTTAGGTAGAAGAAAATAAACTGTTGATAATTTAAAAGGAGTAGATATTTAGATAGAGTGCCATAAGAGGAAAAATACATCAGTAATAAGATTAATGTGATATGCCAGAAATTAATAAACAGAGAGAGATGAGAAGTATGAAATGAATGTTTGCAGGGACTTAGATGTTAATCAATAATGACTACTCTCCTTCAAATTATAGATTGAGATTAAATAATTTGTCAATCTTTTTTAAAAAGAACACTTAAATATTATTAAAATATATTTTTCCACTTAGCATTATATATATATAATATTATATATATATAACTTTTTTCATTTTCCATCACTATATTCAATTTCTATTTATATCATTCCATCATTTAAAAATACAAAAAGTAAATAAATGAATTTCTTATTGATATTCACATAATAAAGAGATAATTCAATTAATTAAATGTATTTGTTGAAATTAATCCACAATATAAATAATTTACAAATAATTTTGTGTTAACGGTGAAATCTTGAATTAAAATGTTTGGATTTAGAATGAAAAATAATTATTTACTAGTCTAGCTATAACAAAGAATCAACATTAAATTGATTTGGCTAATAAAAACAAATCAAACATCGAACTGGAATTCTAGAAAAAAAAACAACTATATAATATTTAAAATACAAATCTTCTTCGTTGTCCCATAACTTAATATTTTAATATAATTAAAGTATATCATATGAAATTCTTAATGACTTAATTCACTTAAACTATGAATTAAATAAGTTTGAGTCAAGTGAGAGTTGAGTTTACTTTTAAGTAATCCTTTTAATATTTTTCATTATAATTATTTAATAAGTTGACACTTAATATTTTCTAAGTCTACATAGTGCTATTTAATGTTAAACGGTTTGGATATTTAATATATTTGTTTGTTAAATTATATAAATTAAGATTTTATTATTTAATATTCGTACATATTCAAAAGGTATCATACAAATAATTCAACTATAAGAACTTCTCAATTTTTGTTCTCCAAAGTGTTCATCCTCCTCCTCTTAAGTATTCATCCTTTCTAAGATGAATAAGAGTATTAAGTGTAATTAATGAGAACATTAATAAAATACCTCAATATTTGTGTTATTTATAATATAATTTATTATGTTTATGAGCTCTTACATGGATGGGCTTGGGCTTGGACCAGAGTGATCCATTTCCCTTGTCTGAGTCAATGTTTGATCATATTCTAATAACTTACAAAGTAGTTTGTATACCATTAGTTATGGTAGACCGACAAGTAAGCGACTAAGCCTCTTAATGGTAGTCACCATGCGACCTCGACCTGTTTGGGTGCAAGCATTTAGGACACATTGGGTTGTGTTTTGTGTCAAACTGAAAGGTATAAAGTGTCATTTGGTTCATGAACATTCTAAGGTGTTCATCAGGGTTAGTGGAGCCATCATACTCGTCAAAGGACAAAACATCCTCCAATTGTCTAGCAAAGACCATTATCCATGTTGTGCATGGAAGCATCTTGATCGTATTCACTGTTGCGATTAACGGGTGATCCTTACTAGCTCCTGAGCTACCTTCCTTGGCCGTTTGGTCAGGTTCCTCATGTTGCTTGGTTGATAGTGGAAGAGGTTGTGTGGAAGGGACCGAGTTCTTGGTGCTCAGCCCCTCTTACATCTCATCCATCTGTTTTTGCAAGTTCGTCATTATATCCATAGGATTCAACGGGTTGTCAGAAACTTCTCCTACAATGACATTGTTTGTTGTGTTCTCTATGATCACTATGTGATTACTACAAATACTTGATCGATGCTACAATAGGTGCCAAAATATTTTGATATATGGAATCAAACCTTTTTTTTTTTAGTAAAGGGTTTTCCACATTTTATTTTAAATCCAATTCCAATTGATCAATACCAATCGGTGATACCTGTCAAAAGTTCTTAAATACGAAAGTTAATTTCGAAAATAAAGATAATAGATATATAATTAATGTGTAACTTATCACTTGAAACTTCTATTTAAAACTTTTATATTACATTTTTTTTATTAAGATCTATCTAATTACAGTCTAAATATAATTAATTGTAATTAAATCTTTAATCAAAATAATTTTATAACTTAATATGTTTTGACCTCGACCATTCTATAATAGATAGATTAACCATTTGACTATCAATTAATCCGTCAGTACATTTATTAAATTAACATTTCTTAAAACTCTGTTTCAATCTTCGTATTTATGTTACCTTGAATCTCATTGTTGACAATGAATTATTCTTATGAAAATTCTCAATCAATTTAAACATTGGAAAAAAAAAATCTTTATGACAGCTACCGGTCAAGTCTAAGGTCATAATACTATTAAAATTTATAGTGAGGTTGACCAAGCGGCTTATATTTAATGTTAAAAATAATTCCTCACAAGAAAAAAATAATTTAAATATAAATACTAAAATCTTTAAAGAAATAACATTTAACATCAGATAGATGTTCCTAAACTTCATTTTATACAAATTACAAATATTAATTTTCATCCAAAAGATGTAATATTGGATCAATAAAAACGACCAATTTGAGAAATCTTCAATTCAATTAAAATGAAAATTATTATTACGTGTTTTCAATTAAGAAGTACCAGATGAATTATAAAACTCGCTAAAGCTGATAGAAGTAGAATTTTAATAGTACAATTTAGAATTTTAATATCTATTGTACAAAACATAATCTAATATGACAAGGTTTGGGGAGAATAAAATGACCGTTCATCTTAAAAATTTATCTGCCATTTTCATAGAAGAGAAACATATATGACACTCCACCACAACTTTCTTTTTTAAATCAAAGTTAATAATGTTCCACTAAAAATAACCTAAAAATCAAAGTTGATTAATACAAACATATAATATTAAAATTCCAAAACAACCAAGGTTTCTTCTAAAACTAAAATTTTAAAATGGAAGAAGTATTGTATTTAGACTAAAATTCCTAGAACATAACATCAATGTTTTGGGATAAAAATATAAAAACAAAGGAAGCAGGTAGTTGATTTCCTAGTTTGCATATAGCCTATACTAACATAACACTGGAAACATTTTTTGTCAGTAAGTTTAATGCTCCACCATGAATCTATCATTCATGGATTCTTAACTTTACAATCCATCTAGTTGAAATCTCTAAGCTAACATTTAGGATTCTAGTTAGATCATTAAGGATTTGTCCTTTCATACATTTCGATTTATTTTTTACTATTTTTCCAACAACCAGAGTTAACCGCTCACCATAATTGTGTCTTCAGTCGTACCTGTTTTTTAGAATTCATTCGTAAAAACTCATGTGCATGTAAGATGGACCGTAAATCAAAGACGTAAAAGTAAGAATATTACTAAAGACACAGAGTCCTTCAATCTTAATCTATTTATGGCAATCAGGTTCGGTAATATTTTTGATCTCAGAAGAATGAATGGTATTAAAATGTTAAAAAAGAGATTAAGACAGCATTGTGGAGAAGAAAAAAGAAAGGACAGGAAGAGTTGTGGTGTTTTAGGTGTAATATTAATGGGAGAAAATCAGAGTACAAATGTGGTTGAATGATCTGTAGTCTATGAGGTAGCTTGGAATGGAGGGAGTGATTGAGTGAGGAGAAGGATCCAATGCAAAACATTGGTCCTTCTTTTCTCCAGACACAAATAATTAGTTTGAAACCCAATCATGCAACACTCACAGGCACAGCAGGTGAAACATCAAATATCTCATTACCTTAATCTCCTTTTCAACTCCCACATGTGCTGCCACAATCCAATCCAATTCAAATCACATTCCCACTCTCATCATGCAATTTCACTAACGGCTTTTCCACCATTTTCTTTTCTGAATTATCTGTAACAACCAACTTCGCCATTGCACACCCAATTACTACTGATACATCATCGCCATTATTCTTCTTCTTCTTATTATTATTATAACTATAATAACTGTTATTATTCTCACTGTAATGTGAAAGTACAGAACCTTGCAAAACCCCCAAAGATTTTGACTTTTTTAACCTCACCTTCCTCCTCCCAAATCCCTGCTCGGTTGGCTGTGGCTGCATTTTAACCCAGCTCCCTTTGACCGAACCAGAAGAAGAACCAATGGACTTTGACCTTATCACTTTATTATTATTGGACGCTTCACTCCCATACCCTACAACCCACACACTGGATACTTTCCCCTTCCTTCTGCTCCCACTCCCACCTTTCACCATGCTCACAAATTTCTCACTCCTATCACAGTCATTAATACTATTATCATCACACTCCTCCCACGCCACCACCGGCACCGCGCTCTCCATACGCGCCACGCGCCGCCGCAGAGACATTAACACCGGGGACGCACGAATCCTCTTCCTTGCCAGATTCAGACACTCCACAACCTCCGCCATGGACGGCCGCTTCTCGGCCTTCGATCTCACGCATCTGGCAGCTAGCACCGCGAGCTGCCGCACCACGGCGGGGTCCGTCGGCGTTCCGATCCGGCGGTCACAGATTCCGGCGAAGTCGCCGAGCTTGATCAGCGGCACCGCCCAGTCCACAATAGAGGGAGGGCTATAATTGACGTCGATGGCGTTCCGGCCGCTGATTATCTCCAGCAGCAAGATCCCGAAGCTGAAGACGTCGCTCTTGGCGCTGAGATCCTCCGGCGCCAGATAGCACGGGTCGAGGTACCCTAACGTCCCCGCGGGCGGCGTGCACTTGACGCGAACGTCCTCCACGTGTCCCCTTAACGCAAGGCCAAAGTCACCGAGCCTCGCGTTCCATCTCTCGTCGATTAAAACATTGGAAGACTTAACGTCGCGGTGAATAACGGGAGGGTTGGAAGAGTGCAATTCGCGAACCGCTTTCGCAACCTGAACCGCGAACCGGACCCTCCGGTTCCAACCGAGAGGTTTTCTAACGGAATGTAATAGATCGTGGAGCGAACCGTTGGGCATGTATTCAACGACGATTAATTTGTTACCGTTTGGGTCGGTGCTGAAGCCGATGAGGTTCACCACGCGGGGGCTCGGAACTTGAGAGAGGATCTCGATTTCGTTCTCCACTGGACTGGTGCAGTTGCCGCAGCCGGTGCATTTAGTGGAGTGGTTCTTCGAAGCAGAGACCAGTTTCGTTGTTTTGACGGCGGCAAGGAGCTTTCCGCCGTCGAGGGTAGCTTTGTAGACTCTGCCATGGCTGCCTCTGCCCAGAAAGGTATCGGCGGAGAAGCCAGAAGCGGCGGCGGAGATTTCGGCGTAGTTGAAGTGGCGGATTGGTTTGGCAGGGAGGGGTTTGTGCTTCTTAAAGTGAGGGTCGCAGGTGGCGATTGCGGATTGGGCATTGCAAGAGAGGTAACCCATGAGAGTGAGAATTGGAATGGGTTTGAAGGAATGAGAGAGAAAGAGAAGTTGAAGAGAGAGAGGTGACGGTGGAAAAGGGAACACATGGGGCGCCAAAACCCATAACTGGAAAGAAAGGTGTTTTCAACTTTAAAGTGGCAAAGTGATTCCCAGCTTTAGGACGATGTGAATGCAATCCAAACATGGACGCACACTTCTTCATTTTTTTTTTTACCTTTTTCTTTTTCTTTAATTCTGCTTTTACTTTTTTATTCCTTTTTCTCCATTATCTCTTATAATACTCTGTTCTTCTTCTTCTTTGCTTTTCAATAATTAAATGAAAAAATGCAGCGTAACAAAACCCTAGTATTCGAAAACTAATTAATTTATATATATATATATATATATGATTAATGTGAATGGTATCTCTGAGTTTAATGAAATTAAAGTGGATTTCGATATAAATTGGATTTAATTCCTAATGTTGACATGTTGCGATTGATGAATTGAGATAAAGTTCTTAAAATATAAGTAGATACATTAAAAAAAACCCACTTTAATGTTTAAATTGGAGACAATGCCTCTAGAATTGAAGATTTATATTAAACATTTATATATAACGTTGCAATTTCCGACTGGCCTCCTGAGATTTATAATTAAAATGTGACTTTCATAATATTTACTTTGATCATTTGGAGTTTCACAATATTTAGGCATCAGAAAACTCTAATATCTGACGGAAAATTTTGTTTACTCGAATAACTTGTGACAATCTATCATAGGAATAAAAAGATGATATTAATTAAAAATAAGGTTAAAATATTTATTTAATCGGTATTTTCATTCAGGTTTTTCGGTTTAATTTTAATATTTTTTTTAATAAGTTTATAATAGTCATTTTCTAAGATAATTTAAATAATTAATAGACAGTTAATAATATATATTATATGTAAATTTGTGATATTTTTTTTTTTATTTTCTTTAACTAAGAATTTCTTTTACTGTGAAATCATTATTATCTCATATGATAACATCATTTATTAATATTTTATATTCAATATCATTCTATATTTAGTATTATTTTCAATTTAATCTTAATTTTTTAAAAATAATATAATTTTGTCTTTTTTCGAATTCAGATCAAATTGCTTCATTTTTTATTTTAACTAAACTTTATTTCATAAAAAAATTAAATAATTTGTCGACGTCTTAGATTTAATTACCCCTGTCATCTTTCTGTACGATAACTTGTTGAACCAACGAAATTCAAATTTTTATCCAAATTTTTAGATATATCAACTTGTAATAGGGGATTGAGCATAGAATAAAAAAAGTATTTATTTTAAAGACTGGTTTGATTAATTATGCTAAATATATTATTCTAAAACCAGACGTGATTTCTGTCCATTGACGTGTACTTTTCCAGTTGCCAGAAAGAAATGGGTCAAAAAATTAAAAGTCTTTAAGAAGACAATCTCGATTAGAAAATTAGAAGAGAGTGATTGATATTAAAGTACTAATATTTATAATAAGAATGATTTTTTTTTTCAGATAAAGAAAAGTTATACGTCTCTAGGTGGCAACAGTGGGGGGTCTTAAGCCAGAATTAAGGGGTATTGGTTTTTCCAATTCTTTTTTATATATACAAATTTAAATATAAATAAAAAATATATATTATTTAATTTTAATATATTTGATTCCTTAAATTTATTCACACTTGTAAATAAAATTTTGGTATCCCAAACCATTTGTTGAAAATAAGAGTTTACCGAAGAAGAAAAAAGCTTCACATAATTCATGCTATCAAATGAATTTCGATGGAAAATGAGGCTCATCAGTTTGGTGATTGCTGGATTATAACATTGATGTTAGCTCCTTTAAATAAATTTACATAAAATGCAAAATAAAAAAAAATGACATTTATTTTTCCTCTTGCCACCTACACATTCTTTTTCACCTTTTTCTATCATAGCTCTAAACAAAATCTTATATGGAATAAAATAAAAAATAAAATACGTAACATACATTTTTTAGTAAGAGATATTTTAAAGTAATGTCAAAAACAAATTCGTCAAGATTTAGTCAAACAATATCTTAATATGTTTAAAAAAATAAAAAATGTAAATTTAAATATTTATCTTTATTATCTTTTATCCTAAAATTTCATTTAAACAAGTAAGGAAGTCAGGATTATCTATAAAGAATACAAGTTAATAAAAATTTAAAAATTCTAATAATAAATAAATATTTGTAAATTTTAAAATGAATTTCATATTGACATATAATTATGATACATGAGATATTAATCATATTTTATCATAAATTTATCCGTATTAAGTTTAATTATTTAATCATAGTGATTATGTTTGTAAGTGTTTAACCATTTGAACCGTCCATTCTAAAAATAATAGTCATATGATTATATATATATATATATATTAAACACAGGAAGATTCTACACGTGTGTGGGACGCATTCTCTGTTTTTGATTTTTAAATTGTTAAAAAAAACTACTTGTTCTGTTGTTGTGCACGATACAGTTTTGCAACCACTAGTCTATGATATTATTTTATTATATACTCTTATTAACTTTTTAATATTTTAAAATAAGTATTGGATTCTCCTAAATTCTAGGTTATACTTGGTTGAATTCTACAATTATCATACACTGTCGCTAAACACGATAAACAGCTAGAAGTGAGACAAAATTTCCATTAATTGACTCTTAATATACAATCTGCTGAGTTTATGGCATTGATTGGCGAGCTTTAAGGCTAATCTTTTACGTTCACTTTGACAATAGTTCCAACAACTTTTAAATTGTTTTTTAATAATCAGAAAATACAAAATGTATTTTATTTAATTTTTCGTTCATTTGATAAGTAAAAGGAAATCATTCTATAATAATATTCATCATTTCACTCATTGCAAATCAAATCAAATCCGCGTTGAACCAATGATCGGGATCGGTCTATATCAAATAATTATCAATAATTTTCATGTAGTTGTAATTGTACACAAACTGGAAAGTTTGTAATTGTAAATATAAACAGACTTATCAGGGTTGGCATGGTTTAAGAATCAGTTGGATTATCTAGGTTTACACTTTCCAACGCACAATTTCACGCTCCTAGGTCACCAAACGTGATAGTTCTTAACTTACAAACAGTTTAACTTTTTTTTACACTTATTTATAATATTTAAACTTAGATTAATTCTTAACATTTAGGTTGAACGGAAAAAGGTTAATTAATTTGTGGTAAAAAGAGTCAAGCTTGACCAACAAATATAGTAATTTGATAGAAAAAAATAACAAATTGAGATCAAATTTTTAACTCGACAACCCAATGCAACTCGACATATCAATTTAGTGAATTCGATAACCTGACATCATTAAAAATATTAAATATATAAAGATTTGTCTTTATTAAATCCGACATATTAGTTTGATCAACCTAACAGTTCGATAACTTGATATGAACCCATTTCAGTTTGATTAACCTAACAGTTCGATAACTTGATATGAACCCATTTCAGTTTGACAACTAGTTATATAAGTTATAAAAGTCAACCTATTATTAAGTAAATGAACAATCTAGTCCAACTTATATTTGATGGATCAAAGTCGAGTTAAGTTAATCCGTTTTGTTAAAAGTTTTATCTTAACTAGAGATAAGGTCAGTTCAGAGTATATAAGTGAATGTAAATTTCACCTTACAAGTCGATTTTATGAACTTAAGTTAAGTCTAAAATATATTTTTTGTATTTATGATTTGTAAGATATATTGTTGGTTATGAAACCGCGTTTCTAAAAACATTATTTGAATAATAAGGTGGAATTATATTTTTGAGCAAGAGTGGATGAAGGTGAGTGAAAGAAAGAAAGTGAGTAGCGACAGAAGGGAAAGAATTGGGTAGTGTTTGGCTTAAACAACACTCAGAAACGTGCGTTGGTTGGTTTTGTTTGTAGTATTAGGAAGCGAGTGTGGAGTTTTGTTGAGCTTTTGACCATCCACTGTCTGTTTGTTTGTTTGGATTTTGAGAGTGAGAGATGTTGAAAATCAGCTTCCACTTCTCAATATTTTCAAACGCTAAATGATTCTCTTTGCCTTCTCCACTTATCTTACATCTCACCTCACAATTCAAATTCATACACCATCTTCTATATTTAATACTAATTATATATACAGTTAAATATTTTCAAACGCTAAATATTTTTAAATATTTTCATTTTTAAATTAAAATATACAGTTATTCAGAAAATTATTTTCTATGTTTAGAGTCTTCATTTCACGAATAAAAAACATTTTAACATTGTTTATTGTATATAGAAAAAGGTGTTACATTACTATATGAAAAATAGAGATTATTAGTCCCTATCATCTAAATTAATTAATTTGATTTTTATTGATAAAAAATATCATAAGTGATTTAATATTTTATAATTTTTTTTTACTTAGATTTTTTGTTCATATAATAAATATGGTTTTATGTTTTGTAAGGTATAATTTTTATTATAAATTTGATGTACTTCTCCATATTTTGTATTATTTTTTTTTCATATTTTTCTCTGACAAAAATTTAATGGATTTTGAAAAGTAAATATAATTGATATGTTAAAGTTTATAGTGATATCCAGTACGAGTTCATTTAAATAAAATAAATTTATATTTTGATTTATCATGGTTTTGGTGTGGTTCTCTATATTATATATATAATTTTTATGTAATGACAAAAAAATGATAAACTTTGGGATGTGAATATAACTTATATGTCAAAGTTTATAGTGATATAGCATGAGTTTATTTAAAAAAATTAGCTTATATTTTAATTTATCATAAATTTACGTGAATCTTCATGTTTAATATTTTTTTATTTAAAAAAAAAACTCATGTAATAACAAAAGATAGGTAGATTTAGAACGTCAACCTGTTAGAGTTTATAGTGATATCTATGATTCAAAATGATGTCCAGCAGCATAAGTTTATTTAAAAAATCAAGATTCTGTTTTAATTTAAAAGAGAAATATAATTTGTATAATGATTAAATAAAATCATTTAACCCTTTAATATAAAGAAAATAAAAAATAAATAGAAAGTTAGAGAATCTGTGTAAATAATGACGTGAAGAAAATGAGGATAAGTTGTTTCATTAATGCAGTTTCAAAGCTGAGCTAATTTGAGATAATACAATTACTATATATATGTTGACAGCAACTATTTCAAAATTATTAATGTTCCAATTTAAACGAGAAATAAAAGGCAAACATTTGGGTCTTTGAAAAATTTAAACTGCAGTGAGTTGAAGTTTTTGCTTACATGATTGTGACCCATAGTGGGAGCAGATTTTAATTCTGGAAGAGCAGAGGAAAACGATAATCACGGTCTTTGGAATAATCGCGTTTGAAATGTATCTGTTAAAAGTTAAAAGTTGTCAAGGGTCAAATATTAGTAATTGTTTTCAAACTGCGAATAATCGCTTTTGACTTTTGTTTCACCAAATCCCACCACCACAATTGAAACATGTGAAAATGCCGCCAAACACACTTTCAAATTCATCATACCATCATAATAAGTCAAATCTTGGTGGATATACTTTTGAAGATATAATAATACAAGCTCTAATATGTGTATATTTTATATTGATACAAAAATATTTTTATTAAATTAAAACATTAAGATGTTAATTATAATTTAAACTATTTCCATTTTTTTAAATATCCCTTTTTATTTTTATTTACTCAAATAACTTATCTTTCAATTTATTTACCAAAATATATCATTCTTTGGACGGGAAAAATCGGTTAGCTGTAAATCCACTTCACACCACCATCAAACTCATTTCTTAACAATACGTGGATTAGAAATGAGTAGGATTTCTAAATTAATCTTTTTAATTTAATTTTTTGTTTTCTTTTAATTTATTTTAATTTTTTAAAACATAGATATTTTTAAATTAATAATTAATTTAGTTATTTACTTTCATTCTATAAATACAAATATTTTAATATTTATAATCAATTTAGTATTTTGATTTATTTAATAAGTATACATATTTCAATAATTCTAATTATTTAATTTTTATATAAATATTAAATAATAGCATTTTATTTAATTTTTTAGAAAACAATTTTAAAATAGTGATTATTTTATTTTTAACTTAAATTTTAAGTATAGGTATTTTATATTTTTAACAAATTTAAGTATTTATATTTTTTTCAATAAATTCACATATTTTTATATTTTTAATTTATTTATTTATTTAATTTTATACAAAGAATATAGATATTTTATCATTTTTAATTAATTTAAGTATTTATGTTTTTCAATAAATAAAAATATTTTAATTAATTGAATTATTTAGTTTCTAATTAGGGTTTTAATTCAAACAATAATACTAATGAAGGAATTTTTAATATTGAAATAAATTTTAGTAAAATAACACTGATTAATAAAGTTAACATGTATTTTTAATTATTTAAAATAAACAAAAATAATGTTGTGATTTTTTGTATATAAAATAAATTAATAATATATTACTTTAAAAATCAATCATTAATTGTATTAATATATTGGATTTTTAATATGTATATTAAATTTAATGATTTAATTTAATTATATAATCATTAAATAATAATAATAATAATAATACATCTAGTTATAGGTGAAGGAAACTATGAAACTGAAAATTCATAAACATAATTTAGAAATTCAAAAGGGAACCAAAATACAAAAATCCAAAATTATGATTGAGGTTACATTTCTATTAAAAATAACAAAAATACTGGTGTCAATTGGTAACAATTGTTTTAGAATTATAACAATTTAAAAAATGTTCGTAACCACATATAAAGAACTATTCGAGAATCTAACAAATTTTATTTGTTGGATTCCGAGAATCCGAAACACTACTGAGTAGTAACAAAAAAAGTTGTTCATAATGAGTACACACCAAATATATGTAATCTAGGTTATTTTGAAAATAAGTAATCCTTATCATATATTCCTAGAAAATCAAGCCAGCACCTTACAATCAACAATCCTGACTTCCAATGAAGACATCCAATATCCAATATTGTAAGACATTTAAATTAAGGAAAATGATACTTGAACAACCATTTTTGACAACATTTAGACACGCGCACACGTGTCAAAATCTGAGTGGTCCATTTTCATTTAATTTTTCCAACTGGACCACTCAGATTTTGACACGTGTGCGCGTGTCTAAATGTTGTCAAAAATGGTTGTTCAAGTGTCATTTTCCTTAAATTAATTACAATTTCACAATATTAGCTTAAAATTATCTATTTAAAATTAATACTAATCATTCTTAATATTCCAAAACTAATATTTTTTTAAAATTAAATAATTTAAAAAATACTAAAATACACGTACTTAAAATTTAAAAATTAAGAATAAAATAATTTAAAAGTAAAATAATCATTAAAATGCCTTTTTATCATAAAATAAGATAAGCTTGTACTATTTATAAAACATTTTTAAAAGAACTAAATAATAAAGATAATCAAACGTTCTTTATTGGAAAAATTGAATACTTAAATTAATTACAAAAATAAAAGATCTATTCTTTAAATTTAAATTAAGATTAAATTAATTTAAAGTAAATAACCATTTAAAAATATTGTTGTCAAAAATAAGACAAGATCGTATTAATTATAAAATAATGTTGTAAGAATCAAATAATCAAGAATAGTAAAGTATTTATGGTTATAATAGAAATTAAATAATTAAATTAATTAGAAATAAGAAAACATTTGTAGTTATTGAAAGTAAAACAAAATATCTATATTTTAAAAATTAGAAATATTTAAAAACAAATTAAAACAGAATTTTAAAAATTATTTAAGAAATTCTATATTTTAAAAATTATAAATATTTAAAAATAAATTAAAACAGACTTTTAAAAATTATTTAAGAAATTCTACCAATTTCCCATTCTCCAATCTTTTAAAATTTAGTCTGAGGATGATTAGAATCTTTCAGTAAATAAATAGTTACAGAGGCATCTGAGTAAATAAAATTTAAAAAAAAAAGTCAATATTTCAGCAGATCATTTTACTATACAGATATTAAATCGAATAAAATGCAATGTTTAAAATGAGAGACCACCTTTAACTGTACAGACTACCATTACAATGTAAATTTTTACAACTCTTTCCATTTTCTTTTTGTTTTTTTCGGAACCATCAACAGTCCAGGAAATAAATACAGTATACCTTCTGAGCAAAATCAAAGGATTTATTTTCAACTCTCCAAATTACCCAGCGCATCCATAAAATGCCTGCTTTACCATCGATCACTGATCCCCATCGATGTCAACACTTACCAGTCAACTGAATAGAGTACCCTACAATCATTGTAGTACAAAGGTACTAAGGATTAAAGCTTACTCGTATTCCAGTCAAATACAAACACACGAGCCCCATGGTTCCATATCAGGCCCAATACATTTGGACAATTCATAAAGGAAAAAGTAAACGTGATCTCCGAACAACACCTTCGAATGAGATAGCCTAGAGGTGAAAGCTTCAGAAACACGGCAAGCTCATTCTAGGTTTCTAAAAACTGCTTAATTTAAAAAATTCTGGAGTTTGAGGACCACGGGATTACAGGTCAAGTAATTTAACATGCGATATAAAGGCATATGAAATACAAGTTTAATAAATATGATTGATGCTGTATCTGCTGCGAACATATATTTTAGATGACATAAAACATTTTAATGCAATAGCGCTACCATCTTTTTTTTTTTTAAAATATAGTATAGATGAGTTAGCAATATAACCATAAATGAAACTTCAAGATATCATATCGTAAAGAAAATTGCAGATTTTGGTAATCTTATTATGTTGGTTGATTTGCATTGGTTGAACCATTAAGTTAGCCAACTGAATCATTCAAAATCACACAACCAATACTCAATAGATTGATTTTGAAACATCACTAATGCCAAAAACTGAGGCTTTTTTATTCAGAGATCGAAGTATTTATTGAAAACTTTATATAAACAGAGAGACTTGTAAAGGAATCTGAATATTATTTTAGATGCAAGAGAAGTGAACAGAGAAGGACTTACCAGCAAACGAAAATTAGCAAACCTTTAGCTTTGAGCACATTCAAATGGACGCAAGCGTAACGAACCCTCAGGAAAGTCGTGCATTCTAAATGGTTCCAAAAGCTCAAAGGGCCTGCGGATAACAAAATCACTTAACCAAAAAAATATCTAAATAGTTTATTCCTTCTGAAAGCACTAAGGGATAAACCAATATAGTTAAACATAATAACACAAATAAAAAACTAATAATGGATCTACAAATCAAGCCCAATTCAAGAATAATTACAGACATTAAATCCAACCCTCCTGACCACCTGGGCGCACTGTCAAAGATGAGACGTGCAGCCTGCCTATTTCATAACATTCGGTTTAAATGAAACTCTTGTCAAATTAATGATCTCCAAAGTTAGAGGTGATGCCTAATGACCCACAACAATAAGACGGAAACATTAGGCTAGTTCAGTTAATATAGAAAAAAGGGATATCTCAGTAAGTATTTTAAAAAAAAAAGGCTCCCAATATTAAGAGAGGAATGACAGACTAAAATACAAGTCATGTTCATTTTCAATTTCAAAAAAATGAGGTCTAAAATTCTTACAATATAGAATTGCGGCTACGGGATAACTTTTGTTGATTGCTCTCCATAGCAGCCAACACATCACCAGTTTCTGGTCCTGCTGAGCCATCAGCTACAGAAGATGGAACAGGGGCACTTGGAGTCCATATCTAGAATAATGTACCCCCAGAAAGCTTCAGAAATTTAAGTTTTTATTCCATTCAAGAAATACTATGCATCATATAGTCATCATTCTCACCTTTATTGTGCTATCAATCCCACTGGTTGCGACAACAAAATCAAATGGATGGCATTGTATACAATTTACAACTGTAGCAACACGAGGAAAACAAAGCTACAGACAGCCAAACAAGAGAAGACTAATAAAACCTGAAACTCTTAAGGAAAACAGTGTTTACCAGATCCATCACCATTTAGAATTTTTATAAGTCTACCAGTACGCTTTTCCCAAATAAACCATCTGCCATCATCACTTCCACTGGCAACATATTCTCCTACAAATAAACATGTGAGATGATCTTGAACAAATTTCCGACTATGCCAGCCCAACTATCAACTCAAAACTCACCACTTATGTTAGGCACGTACCTCAACAACAAAATAAAGTGCGAAAGGTGGACAGAGAGGAATAAAGAATAAGATAGAGATAATTAGTCTATTTTTATATAATAAGGGGTCAAGAGGACTGAAGGGAGTCTTTACTAGAAAGCATTTTGTGGAGAATACAGTAGTGGCTCCATTAGAGAACGGTAAACCCTTGTATTCTGACTGCTGTCAGTTCTTAATTAAAGTAAGAAATTCGTTAAGAAAATTAGAAGGAAAGAAAAGAAAAGGCCCATATCCCAAAACATACGACGTAGTATATTTTCCATTGTGGCTTAAGCTTTAAAATCTGTAGGACCAGTACTTGCAGTAAGGATATTTATGGATTCTGTATGTTTTCCACTGCATCGATACACGGATCTTTTATCTTCCCATTTCAGCAACTGATATTAAAGTTATTAAAGCCAACTGGTTTTAGTATATATATTTCTCCTGTGCAAACAATATAAAGCAACCAAAAGAGAATGGAAAAAAAAAAAATATATTTGCTTGGTATATGAGGACTCGCTGTGCACAACCAATTATAATTAGGAAAACCACATACGAAAGAAATATCAGACCTCTTTGACCAAGAAAATTGGCCTGTTTTATGTCCGTCCCAATATTGCAATGGCCAATAAATCTCTGTTTCATATCAACAGCTGGTTCAGGCTGCAATATTAACAATAGAAAAAAAAAATTATCCAAAATGTATAACTTAATATTAGCTCATTAGGTTGCATACCGAAATATTGAAGGTACTGATGATAAGCAATCAAAAGGCTTACAAATAAAACCTAACAAAAAAAAAACACATCAAATGTTGTTGCACCCTTTCCACATAAGACTAACCATTACGTTCTTGGATTGTACATTTGAACCAATACAAAGGAAGAAAAATAAAATAAAATAAAATAAAATAAATTCATTTAGAGGTGCTAATTTGACACATGGCCTATGGGTCAATCCCAACTCACTCCTGAATAAGCCCCCTCTTAAAGTGAGTTAAGATCAAGGTCAAAGTGAGTTTGATCCCACTACAAAACTTTAACTCCTAAACACCAAACCTATTGCTCGGGCCGAAGTTCAAATCAAGTCAACTAGTATTGAAGGTCAACTCAAGTCAACTAGTATTGAAGGTCAACTCAAGTCAGCTCGGACCAGCTCAAGTTAATCAGGCAAACTTGGGTTCAGCTCAACTAAGTCGACTTGGTTCAACCATCAATCTTGGCCAATTCGTCTCAGAACTTCAGCTCTTGTCAGCTCAACATGAGCAAACTAACTCGGTTCTTTGGCCCAAGCCAACTCAACTCAATTCATTGGCTTGAGTGACTCGCCTCAACCTCCAACCCTAATGGACTCAACTCGACCTTCAACCCAGGTCAACTTAGGTCGACCTTTGGCCTTGGTTGAGTTGATTTTTCAGCCCAACTAATTTGAGCTGACCACAACCCAGACCAACTCAACTTAGCATGAGGTGTATATAACTCGACTCAAACTCTATCAAGCTTGGTTTGACCTAGACGCAACTTGACCTAGACCCAACTTAAATGACTTATTTTAACTTTGTATCAACCCAACCTATTATTTTTGGATCATAGTGATGAGAAACCACCAACAATAATTGAATTTGAAGGTAGAAATATATACCAAATAACATGTTCTACTGCTCTGTGACGAAGATGAAGGTGAATCGCTTGGGCCACTAGCACCTGCATTGTCTCTAGAGTCACCCCTTCGGTGAATTCTAACATTTAAACTTCCATGAAGAATATTTGAATCAAGATCTTGTGCCTCGTCACCAGATATTGATGTTTCAAAGTCCAGCTCCAATTCCTCATCATAATCAGAATCATCCCTGTCTGATCTAGAACCATCTTGTGGAACATCACCATTAGCCTCGGGGCGATAGAGTATGTCACTTAATGATAATATTCTTCCACCTCGAATGTCAGACCTTGATGCACCATCATTGGCCTTGCTATTTTTTTCAGCTTCAGCTGTTAAATAAACCAGTTTGATCCAACATAAAATGGTAAAAAAAAAATAGTACATAATTTCCAATTATAAAGAGCAATATTTGGAAAATAAAATTTTTCTGTATCCAATTTTAGGCAGTTATGAAATGAAGTAACTGTTAAATACCCTCTAATATCTTTTGTCAACACAAGAAAAATATAAATCATGTTTCAGGACCTCAATGGGTCACATAGTTCTTTAGACAACAAGGGTAATCCAAAAATTTCACTAACATACCTAAGGCAATATCCTTCTTCACATTCTCCACTCTCTCTGCAACTTCAGATTTGAGTGGGGCCAGTGAAAGGGAAGCAACAGCAAAATCCAAAGCATCTTCATGTCTACCCAACTGCAACGAAATAACATAGTATAATGGGTTTTAAAACTAAGGCAAGTTCTAACAGGGTATACATGACAAACAAATGGTATGAAAAAACCCCTATATAAGTCCCTCCAGCCAAAAGTCAAAACATAAATTCACACATACTGTAACTGTTTTGTCAAACATTCCTTCAATCTCGATTTTCTTTTAATCAAAACTTTTTTATATCTGCACAAATATTCCCTTAAATGTTATCAACTTGAGCTTGATACCTCCTATAACTTCAATTAGAGATATCATAGATAAACATATCTAGATTTGATACTCTTTTGTTTCTCTTTGTTTCCTTCTGGGTTTCTATAGGGTTGGTAAAACAATTCATTTATCAATCATCCATGTTGTTTATCCACACGTAAATCCATCCCTTTCATACACTGGATCAAGTCCATCCATTTAATTTTATGGATGGATAATGATCCACCTATTATTTATCAGAATCCAATGAATGTCCTATCAAGACGAAACAGATTAAAATTAATCCAATCAATTTTTTCACAATTAAGTCTATCAAAAATGTAATTTACCTAAAACCTTAAAAAAAACTGAATTTTTCAATCAAAATTTATTTATTGAAAATTTTGTTAAAATATGTTTAAAATTTTATTTTAAATTCCTAAATTTTGTATGTTTAGATATACATCCATTTGCTTAGATGTATTGGGTTGAATCTTTTATTAGATGAATCAGATTGTAATGGATCAAAATGAACACTAAGATTTTTTTCCGAGCCTTCCAGTTTGCCATGTTGGTTCAGTAATGGATTCTCCCTCTCTTTATCATGCTCAACTGGGTCTTTCTAGTCTTGCCAAGATGTAGCAACTTGTTCTAAGTTTGTCTGTTATCCAGTTTTTCTTGAGGGTCATGCTAATTAGGAAAACAAGGTCATAGTTATTTCCCTAGAAGTGTCTTACAACCTACTTTGTCTCCTTTTTGCCTTGGTTCATTCTGACATTTGAAGACCAAGTCGTGTTAAGACAAATTTAGGGTTTCAATATTTTGTCACTTTTATTAATAATTATTCAAGATGTACTTGGTATTAAAAATTGTTGAGTTGTTTTCTATATTTCAAACATTTTAAAATGAAATTAAAAATCAACTTGAAATTTCTGCCCAACCTTATGCAGTGATAATGTCCATGAGTATCTTTCTCACTCTTCAAAATTTTATGGCTTCTCATCACATTCTTCATCAAACCTTATGTGTTTATACACTTCAACAAAATGAGGTGACTGAACACAAGAATTGAAATCTTATTGAAACAACTCTCCCAATGTTAAGCCATGGTGAGGTTCCTCAGCATTTTTGGCTCAATGCATGTTATCTCACTAATTGCATGCCATCTTCGGTCTTGGATAACAAAATTCTGCACTCTATTTGATTTCCTCATGAACCTCTCCATACTTTACCTCTTAAAGTTTTTTCATCTACATGTTTTGTTTATAATTTTAGTCCTGAACTTGATAAACTGTCTTCAAGATCACACAAATGTGTTTTTCCAGGATTCACTATATCACAAAAAGAATATAAATGCTTCTCTGCTTCTTTTAACTGTTATTTCATTTCAGCAAATATCACATTCAATGAGTCTTCTGTTTACTTTAAGTCTTCTTCTCCTTGTGTGTCTCTATATGCTACAATCAATATCCCGGTTAGTGATGAAATAAGTGTTTTCAAAATAATGAAACATAGGAGCTTGTCCTATTACAGTTTGGAAAATGTGGTGTTGGTTGTAGTGGGTTTTTTCCATTGAAGTTGTTTATGATCGTACTATCGACCATCTCAAGCCTTACCTTGTGGCCAAAGGTTAAACACAAGTTTTTTAGATTGGATTATGATGATATTTTTTCTCCAGTGTTCACTTATTTATAATCATGGTTGCTCTTCAACAATGACCTTTTTACTAACTAGAGGTAAAAAATGTTTTCCTTAATGAGCATTTGCAGGAAGAAATTTATATAAAACAGCCTCCAAGTTTTGTTGCTCATGGCAAGTTTTCAGGATTGGTATGCCATCTTTGCAAATCTTTGTATGGCCTAAAACGGTCTCTTAAGGCTTGGTTTAGAAAATTTAGCCGTGTTCAACAATTTAATATGACTCACTTTTACCATCACTCAAGTTCTGGATGTTCTATTCAATGATAACATTGTCCTTACATATAGGACCACCATGGTATCTCTCAAATGAAACAACACCTTTGTCAACACTTTCATACCAAAGATTTTCACAAACTCAGATATTTCTTGGGAGGAAGTATGCATTGGATATTTTGGAGGAAATTGGGTTGATAAACTCAAAATTTGTTATCCTGAGAAGTAAAAAAGTTTTGTTAAAAATTTAACTATATTATTGTTATTCATGCTAACATTTCATTTGCAATCAATGTTGTGAGTCAATTTCTCAATTCCTCGTACGTTAAAGGAGGTCCTAGAAAAAAGTTTGTCATATGGTCACAATAATCATACTAAAGTGGTCTTTTATTAAGAGTTGATTGCACATGATCTCCCTTTGGTAGAAGTTTCACTTCGAGATATTGTGTCTTTATTGGTGATAACTTGATCTCTTGGAAGAACAAGAAACAAATTGTTGTAGCAAGATCTACTATAGAAGCAAAATTTAGAGCTATGACCTCTGTCACTTGAGAACTTATTTGGCTTAAACAATTCCTTAAAGAGTTGCAATTTGGATATGTCACTCAAATGATACTTNAGATATTGATGTTTCAAAGTCCAGCTCCAATTCCTCATCATAATCAGAATCATCCCTGTCTGATCTAGAACCATCTTGTGGAACATCACCATTAGCCTCGGGGCGATAAAGTATGTCACTTAATGATAATATTCTTCCACCTCGAATGTCAGACCTTGATGCACCATCATTGGCCTTGCTATTTTTTTCAGCTTCAGCTGTTAAATAAACCAGTTTGATCCAACATAAAATGGTAAAAAAAAAATAGTACATAATTTCCAATTATAAAGAGCAATATTTGGAAAATAAAATTTTTCTGTATCCAATTTTAGGCAATTATGAAATGAAGTAACTGTTAAATACCCTCTAATATCTTTTGTCAACACAAGAAAAATATAAATCATGTTTCAGGACCTCAATGGGTCACATAGTTCTTTAGACAACAAGGGTAATCCAAAAATTTCACTAACATACCTAAAGCAATATCCTTCTTCACATTCTCCACTCTCTCTGCAACTTCAGATTTGAGTGGGGCCAGTGAAAGGGAAGCAACAGCAAAATCCAAAGCATCTTCATGTCTACCCAACTGCAACGAAATAACATAGTATAATGGGTTTTAAAACTAAGGCAAGTTCTAACAGGGTATACATGACAAACAAATGGTATGAAAAAACCCCTATATAAGTCCCTCCAGCCAAAAGTCAAAACATAAATTCACACATACTGTAACTGTTTTGTCAAACATTCCTTCAATCTCGATTTTCTTTTAATCAAAACTTTTTTATATCTGCACAAATATTCCCTTAAATGTTATCAACTTGAGCTTGATACCTCCTATAACTTCAATTAGAGATATCATAGATAAACATATCTAGATTTGATACTCTTTTGTTTCTCTTTGTTTCCTTCTGGGTTTCTATAGGGTTGGTAAAACAATTCATTTATCAATCATCCATGTTGTTTATCCACACGTAAATCCATCCCTTTCATACACTGGATCAAGTCCATCCATTTAATTTTATGGATGGATAATGATCCACCTATTATTTATCAGAATCCAATGAATGTCCTATCAAGACGAAACAGATTAAAATTAATCCAATCAATTTTTTCACAATTAAGTCTATCAAAAATGTAATTTACCTAAAACCTTAAAAAAAACTGAATTTTTCAATCAAAATTTATTTATTGAAAATTTTGTTAAAATATGTTTAAAATTTTATTTTAAATTCCTAAATTTTGTATGTTTAGATATACATCCATTTGCTTAGATGTATTGGGTTGAATCTTTTATTAGATGAATCAGATTGTAATGGATCAAAATGAACACTAAGATTTTTTTCCGAGCCTTCCAGTTTGCCATGTTGGTTCAGTAATGGATTCTCCCTCTCTTTATCATGCTCAACTGGGTCTTTCTAGTCTTGCAAAGATGTAGCAACTTGTTCTAAGTTTGTCTGTTATCCAGTTTTTCTTGAGGGTCATGCTAATTAGGAAAACAAGGTCATAGTTATTTCCCTAGAAGTGTCTTACAACCTACTTTGTCTCCTTTTTGCCTTGGTTCATTCTGACATTTGAAGACCAAGTCGTGTTAAGACAAATTTAGGGTTTCAATATTTTGTCACTTTTATTAATAATTATTCAAGATGTACTTGGTATTAAAAATTGTTGAGTTGTTTTCTATATTTCAAACATTTTAAAATGAAATTAAAAATCAACTTGAAATTTCTGCCCAACCTTATGCAGTGATAATGACCATGAGTATCTTTCTCACTCTTCAAAATTTTATGGCTTCTCATCACATTCTTCATCAAACCTTATGTGTTTATACACTTCAACAAAATGAGGTGACTGAACACAAGAATTGAAATCTTATTGAAACAACTCTCCCAATGTTAAGCCATGGTGAGGTTCCTCAGCATTTTTGGCTCAATGCATGTTATCTCACTAATTGCATGCCATCTTCGGTCTTGGATAACAAAATTCTGCACTCTATTTGATTTCCTCATGAACCTCTCCATACTTTACCTCTTAAAGTTTTTTCATCTACATGTTTTGTTTATAATTTTAGTCCTGAACTTGATAAACTGTCTTCAAGATCACACAAATGTGTTTTTCCAGGATTCACTATATCACAAAAAGAATATAAATGCTTCTCTGCTTCTTTTAACTGTTATTTCATTTCAGCAAATATCACATTCAATGAGTCTTCTGTTTACTTTAAGTCTTCTTCTCCTTGTGTGTCTCTATATGCTACAATCAATATCCCGGTTAGTGATGAAATAAGTGTTTTCAAAATAATGAAACATAGGAGCTTGTCCTATTACAGTTTGGAAAATGTGGTGTTGGTTGTAGTGGGTTTTTTCCATTGAAGTTGTTTATGATCGTACTATCGACCATCTCAAGCCTTACCTTGTGGCCAAAGGTTAAACACAAGTTTTTTAGATTGGATTATGATGATATTTTTTCTCCAGTGTTCACTTATTTATAATCATGGTTGCTCTTCAACAATGACCTTTTTACTAACTAGAGGTAAAAAATGTTTTCCTTAATGAGCATTTGCAGGAAGAAATTTATATAAAACAGCCTCCAAGTTTTGTTGCTCATGGCAAGTTTTCAGGATTGGTATGCCATCTTTGCAAATCTTTGTATGGCCTAAAACGGTCTCTTAAGGCTTGGTTTAGAAAATTTAGCCGTGTTCAACAATTTAATATGACTCACTTTTACCATCACTCAAGTTCTGGATGTTCTATTCAATGATAACATTGTCCTTACATATAGGACCACCATGGTATCTCTCAAATGAAACAACACCTTTGTCAACACTTTCATACCAAAGATTTTCACAAACTCAGATATTTCTTGGGAGGAAGTATGCATTGGATATTTTGGAGGAAATTGGGTTGATAAACTCAAAATTTGTTATCCTGAGAAGTAAAAAAGTTTTGTTAAAAATTTAACTATATTATTGTTATTCATGCTAACATTTCATTTGCAATCAATGTTGTGAGTCAATTTCTCAATTCCTCGTACGTTAAAGGAGGTCCTAGAAAAAAGTTTGTCATATGGTCACAATAATCATACTAAAGTGGTCTTTTATTAAGAGTTGATTGCACATGATCTCCCTTTGGTAGAAGTTTCACTTCGAGATATTGTGTCTTTATTGGTGATAACTTGATCTCTTGGAAGAACAAGAAACAAATTGTTGTAGCAAGATCTACTATAGAAGCAAAATTTAGAGCTATGACCTCTGTCACTTGAGAACTTATTTGGCTTAAACAATTCCTTAAAGAGTTGCAATTTGGATATGTCACTCAAATGATACTTATATGTGAAAATCAAGATGTTCTTCATAATAGCTCTAATCTTATCTTTCATGAAAAGATCAAACACATTGAGGCTGGCTAACATTTTATTCGAGAAAAAATCATATCTAGAGACATTAGAATTGAGTTTGTTAACTCAAGTGATCAATTAGATTATATTATAACCAAGTCTTTACTTAGACTTAGAATTGATTATATTTGTAACAAGTTTGGTACATACAATTTATATGCACCAGCTTGAGAAGGGAATGTTATATATTGTTAAGATATCATTATATATTGTTAGTTACAATATTATGTGTTAATTTTAAATGTACCCAACTTAGGTTCTCTTTTATTTTCATATCTATAAATACAATTTATGCGAGGATTCCATATTAATATCAATTTTAGATGTTTCCAACTTCACTCTTCTAATACCCAAGTTTTATATCCCCTTGCTAGTCCTAACCTCAACCACCCAAAGACATTTATGATAATTGATAGTAGTAACAAGTATTTCTACCTCAACTATCTCTCCCATTCTCACTACTACGGCAATCCTGTGCTACCAAACACAATTTTTTCCATGAAGATTAAAAAAACATAGAATACATGTGCTCAAAAAATCCTTTCATCATCAACTTCATTCATATAAAATTCCCTTTTTCTCTTTTGTTTCTGCTAACAAGCAAAAACTGTATGACTCTCATAATTTATCATATTTTTGAGACTGATAACGAGTCTAAAGAACCAGTATAATGTATTATTTCAAAGTGAAAACATTTTCAAATTTGAAGTTCATACAAAAAAAATTACCTGTGACAGTGCTTCTGACATGCAGAATAGTGCTTTATAGGAGGAATTATCAATTTTTCTAGCAGCATAGCAGTCTCTTATAGCCATATGAGCATCGTTTTTCCAATCCCTCTGGATAAAGAGTGAAAAATTAAAAACATGTCAAGTCCAGCAAAAAGGATATAAAAAAAAAAATACTAAACTGAAAGGAGAACGAAACGCTGAGACCCATAATAATAATAACCTTGATCAATAGTGCAGCACGAGTGCACAAGCATTCATGTTTAAGCGCAGACCCAATGATATGGCTATAGCCATTCAAAACCTCATTACATGCCTCGATTCCATAATAGGGTATCCCATTGTCCAATGATTTCTTAGCATATTTTATCAGTTTCCTGCACTTGTCAAGCTGCAAAACCCAATTAGTCAAGAAAAATATTATGAGAAAGCTAAAGTGACATCTCTTAGATCCCCCAAAAAAAGTAAAAACTTCGTACCTTTGCAGCAATGTTCTTTTTAATAGGAAACCCGTTTGGGAAGACATTAGACACACAAGACTGCAACTCTATCCCATTAACTATAGGAGAGTAAGTCATCATCTTTGATACGTCACCTGAAGTATATTGCATCTCATTCATTCCAGCTGCACAACAAAAAATATTAAGTACTATCTCACCTTTAAAATCTACATAAACATAGAAACCATAACATAACAGAATGTAAGTTACTGCAGTAACACAGTCATAGATAGTTGAGAATATCCAAATCCACACGATAATCAAAACTTAGAAAATAACTGACATATCATCAGAGAAAACCTGTCAGCAAATGAAATAAATACTTCCTTCCAAAGGAATATTTAATAAATTGGAACTCTGATAAGGTCTTCAAAAGATGTACTGTGAGTTCCAGTTGAAAAAGCTAAACAAAGAGTAAAAGATATGCAGAATTAGCATGTGCCACACATCATGGAAACATCAAAGTGAAATGCAGTATAATTGGCCTCTTCAAAACACGAGAAAAAAAAAACAAAAATAAAGGAAATTCACTATTCAAGCTTCATTACATTATTTAAAGTCTCAACACCTTCTAACCAAGAGTTCATAAAAAAACACATTACACTTGTGTATCTGATAATGTGACTTAAAGGTTACAGCTAAAACAAGTACAGCGTAACCAAATAAAATGACAAGTAACTGTCAGGAAATGAAAGAACTTCTATAATTTACCCATATCCCAAGTTGAACAAACAAAAAACACATTATCTTATACTACTTGTGAAAAATAAATAAACAAGAAATGAAGAATCAAGGTTCAATGCAATACACTTTACCATGATTTACATTCATCAGGTAAGCATGCTCTCCACTATAGCTGAGGAGAACCTCATGTCCATCAGGACTGAATGTAACATGAGTTAAGTGTAAGCTTGGATGTCCCTGTAAAACAGATACAATTTGAGAGAAAAAAACATTTGGCCTGAAGTGTTATAAAGACTTACATGTCCAAAACACACCATATACCAAGGGGGGAAATGAGAAAATCAATAAAACATAAAGCACGTAGGGCATTTGGTATGAAGAATGGAAAATTAACATTACAGACTCACTTTATTTTGGTTTAGAGATTTGGAGAATAGAGATAGGAAATACTAATGATATTTGCAACCCAAGTATTTTTTAATGTGTAGACTACTATGTATCTTAGGTTCTTTTCCAAAAAACACTTGTTTAAAATCAACATCACCAATATCCCAAGGAAAAACTGCCGCCACCATAGTCACAGCTGTCATTTCCCTCATGAGACATTAATATTTCCCTGAATACCACCATCTCCTAAGACACAAATATGCCCAACCCAACAGTGGATGTTGGTGTGTAAAATTACTGTTGTTTTATGAGGATACCCAAAGGGTAAGTACGTGGAATTCAACACAGTACCAATCCCACTTAGCCCTCTAGGATGAAATAGAATTCCCAATATTGAGGTAAATTGTGTTGCCTTTCAACATTAATGAAACATGTAAGGTTGTCACTCAAAAGTTTATGTAAACTCATAGATGCACTTCAAAAGGGTTAGCTATATGAGAGGAAAAAGATCTTGATTGGATTTTAAAACAGGGCATACATACACACATGCATATGCATATACACACATATGTATGTATATATACACATATATGTAAGTATATACATATACACACACATATGCATATACATACACACACACATGCATATACACACACACACACACAAATATATATATATATATATATATATATATNTATAGAAGCAAAATTTAGAGCTATGACCTCTGTCACTTGAGAACTTATTTGGCTTAAACAATTCCTTAAAGAGTTGCAATTTGGATATGTCACTCAAATGATACTTATATGTGAAAATCAAGATGTTCTTCATAATAGCTCTAATCTTATCTTTCATGAAAAGATCAAACACATTGAGGCTGGCTAACATTTTATTCGAGAAAAAATCATATCTAGAGACATTAGAATTGAGTTTGTTAACTCAAGTGATCAATTAGATTATATTATAACCAAGTCTTTACTTGACTTGGAATTGATTATATTTGTAACAAGTTTGGTACATACAATTTATATGCACCAGCTTGAGAAGGGAATGTTATATATTGTTAAGATATCATTATATATTGTTAGTTACAATATTATGTGTTAATTTTAAATGTACCCAACTTAGGTTCTCTTTTATTTTCATATCTATAAATACAATTTATGCGAGGATTCCATATTAATATCAATTTTAGATGTTTCCAACTTCACTCTTCTAATACCCAAGTTTTATATCCCCTTGCTAGTCCTAACCTCAACCACCCAAAGACATTTATGATAATTGATAGTAGTAACAAGTATTTCTACCTCAACTATCTCTCCCATTCTCACTACTACGGCAATCCTGTGCTACCAAACACAATTTTTTCCATGAAGATTAAAAAAACATAGAATACATGTGCTCAAAAAATCCTTTCATCATCAACTTCATTCATATAAAATTCCCTTTTTCTCTTTTGTTTCTGCTAACAAGCAAAAACTGTATGACTCTCATAATTTATCATATTTTTGAGACTGATAACGAGTCTAAAGAACCAGTATAATGTATTATTTCAAAGTGAAAACATTTTCAAATTTGAAGTTCATACAAAAAAAATTACCTGTGACAGTGCTTCTGACATGCAGAATAGTGCTTTATAGGAGGAATTATCAATTTTTCTAGCAGCATAGCAGTCTCTTATAGCCATATGAGCATCGTTTTTCCAATCCCTCTGGATAAAGAGTGAAAAATTAAAAACATGTCAAGTCCAGCAAAAAGGATATAAAAAAAAAAATACTAAACTGAAAGGAGAACGAAACGCTGAGACCCATAATAATAATAACCTTGATCAATAGTGCAGCACGAGTGCACAAGCATTCATGTTTAAGCGCAGACCCAATGATATGGCTATAGCCATTCAAAACCTCATTACATGCCTCGATTCCATAATAGGGTATCCCATTGTCCAATGATTTCTTAGCATATTTTATCAGTTTCCTGCACTTGTCAAGCTGCAAAACCCAATTAGTCAAGAAAAATATTATGAGAAAGCTAAAGTGACATCTCTTAGATCCCCCAAAAAAAGTAAAAACTTCGTACCTTTGCAGCAATGTTCTTTTTAATAGGAAACCCGTTTGGGAAGACATTAGACACACAAGACTGCAACTCTATCCCATTAACTATAGGAGAGTAAGTCATCATCTTTGATACGTCACCTGAAGTATATTGCATCTCATTCATTCCAGCTGCACAACAAAAAATATTAAGTACTATCTCACCTTTAAAATCTACATAAACATAGAAACCATAACATAACAGAATGTAAGTTACTGCAGTAACACAGTCATAGATAGTTGAGAATATCCAAATCCACACGATAATCAAAACTTAGAAAATAACTGACATATCATCAGAGAAAACCTGTCAGCAAATGAAATAAATACTTCCTTCCAAAGGAATATTTAATAAATTGGAACTCTGATAAGGTCTTCAAAAGATGTACTGTGAGTTCCAGTTGAAAAAGCTAAACAAAGAGTAAAAGATATGCAGAATTAGCATGTGCCACACATCATGGAAACATCAAAGTGAAATGCAGTATAATTGGCCTCTTCAAAACACGAGAAAAAAAAAACAAAAATAAAGGAAATTCACTATTCAAGCTTCATTACATTATTTAAAGTCTCAACACCTTCTAACCAAGAGTTCATAAAAAAACACATTACACTTGTGTATCTGATAATGTGACTTAAAGGTTACAGCTAAAACAAGTACAGCGTAACCAAATAAAATGACAAGTAACTGTCAGGAAATGAAAGAACTTCTATAATTTACCCATATCCCAAGTTGAACAAACAAAAAACACATTATCTTATACTACTTGTGAAAAATAAATAAACAAGAAATGAAGAATCAAGGTTCAATGCAATACACTTTACCATGATTTACATTCATCAGGTAAGCATGCTCTCCACTATAGCTGAGGAGAACCTCATGTCCATCAGGACTGAATGTAACATGAGTTAAGTGTAAGCTTGGATGTCCCTGTAAAACAGATACAATTTGAGAGAAAAAAACATTTGGCCTGAAGTGTTATAAAGACTTACATGTCCAAAACACACCATATACCAAGGGGGGAAATGAGAAAATCAATAAAACATAAAGCACGTAGGGCATTTGGTATGAAGAATGGAAAATTAACATTACAGACTCACTTTATTTTGGTTTAGAGATTTGGAGAATAGAGATAGGAAATACTAATGATATTTGCAACCCAAGTATTTTTTAATGTGTAGACTACTATGTATCTTAGGTTCTTTTCCAAAAAACACTTGTTTAAAATCAACATCACCAATATCCCAAGGAAAAACTGCCGCCACCATAGTCACAGCTGTCATTTCCCTCATGAGACATTAATATTTCCCTGAATACCACCATCTCCTAAGACACAAATATGCCCAACCCAACAGTGGATGTTGGTGTGTAAAATTACTGTTGTTTTATGAGGATACCCAAAGGGTAAGTACGTGGAATTCAACACAGTACCAATCCCACTTAGCCCTCTAGGATGAAATAGAATTCCCAATGTTGAGGTAAATTGTGTTGCCTTTCAACATTAATGAAACATGTAAGGTTGTCACTCAAAAGTTTATGTAAACTCATAGATGCACTTCAAAAGGGTTAGCTATATGAGAGGAAAAAGATCTTGATTGGATTTTAAAACAGGGCATACATACACACATGCATATACATATACACACATATGTATGTATATATACACATATATGTAAGTATATACATATACACACACATATGCATATACATACACACACACAAATATATATATATATATATATATATATATATATTGGTTGTGGTTATACACATTAGAGGATTCTATCACATGAATGTGTCATTCCTTTCTTCACCAGCAATATAAACACTTAAAGAATTGATAATCACATATATGTAAAGCCAAGGACTCACACGATCAGAAAGATGCATTGGACAAAAATAATTAACACAAGGAGGAGGAAACATTCTTTTTCGACATGAGCTTAGAGGTGGCAGCATCCTTCTATCATATAACCGTGCAAAGGCATCACTGCAAGATATAGAAAGTCTAAAATCAGTTTTGAAATAGAAAGGACGAATTAATTAACACAATTAATTACCAGAAATATTTACCTCCCACCAACAAGGAGCAAATGCGGCCTAGTTGAACTAATATCACAAGACTTTAAAGAAAGGACTTGTTTAGGAGGATCAGCAAGTGATCTTTTAGAACCACTTCGTAAGTCAAGCTGACATTACACATGAAAATCAGTTAATGAGAAAAAAAAAACAACGATTCCAACTTTTGAAAACAGTGATCATAGTTAACCAGCTTCCTGACTAACTTGCAGTACAAAAATACAAAAACTACACTCTGCAAAGATTGTAAACATCCGAATGTTTTAAGAAAAGGCAATAATGATAGCATCATGAGATCAAGGATGCAACCAAGATCACAAGCTTAGAATTAACAATTCCCTTGAGATGCCTTAGTCATATAGGTTTTCCATGCGGACTTATAATTTAGGATATAAATTAGCTACCATAATAACTTGTGACAGTTTGGAAAAACAGGACAAAATGTCAGAGAAGTGATTTGAATTTTGACTACTTCTACAATCACATTAGTGTAAAATGCATAATAAATAATATAAAAAAACATTTCCGTAATAAAAAAACACGGCGTAGTTACATTCAACATTATTGCAGGTAACAATATACTCCTGCAACCTACCTTGGTGAAAAGACTTGAATGGGAAGTTCTCATTTTAATGAAAAAAAATCAGCTCATTGATGAGACCAACATAAATGGTACATGTTGATTCAGATGCTCTGGATAGCAGATGAATTATTCTAAGCAAACCAATTGGAAATTTGGCAAAATCAAATATTACAGAAATGGAGGATATTCAGTTTTCCCAGATCACATATATGCAAGGAAGAGATGTAAATTTTAAATTTACAATTCTGCTCAGATGTTCATGTCAGACAAGGTTCAAATGCATTCAAAATCGTATGTATGAATACAACTGTGTTAAACCACTTACAAGAATATTTCGACACTCTTGGTGTGAAGAACCAGCTGGAGGACAAGAGGTACCTTCCCGAAAATCATGTTGTCTCAAGGTCCCATCTTCACTAGCACTCCAAACTACATTAGGGTTGCCATTTTCAACCTGCAAAAAGGAATAAGGAAGACGTGAAAACTAACATTATTTAGCCTAAATTAGGCCTTCCTACATAGGTTTTGTTTTATTTCCTTTAACCTCATTGATCTAATGCTATTCAAACTATGCTAAATTAGCAAATTCTTAGACCACATAACTTACAGCCAATTTCTTGACTCTTCGAGCATGGCATTGGTAAAGTGCAGATGGAGCAATGATTGAATTGTCGCTAGATCCACTTCCACTTAGGCGAGACAAGTTAAATAAACGGACCTAGCAAAATAAATAAATAAATAATTGAGAATTAAAACTGCATTACCCATTAAAAATATTCAAGAATCACAATACTACTTCAGCATCTCCGGCTCCAGAGGCTACAAGCTCATCAGAAGTTTCTGGTATAAACTTAGTACAGAATATATTTGCTGTATGTCCTGTATCAATTGAATGTAGAAGTTTTCTACCAGAATAGCTCCAAATATTGATCTGAAAAATTTCAGGGAAACAATTACTGCCTTGTGTTGCTGGAGAAGACCATGAGGAAGTTATAAACCAAAAACAGAAAGTCTAAATGCAAAATTTCAGGTAAACAATTAGTTGCCTTCTACTACAATAGAAGATCAAGAGGAAGTTATAAACAAAAAACAGAAAGGCTAAATATTGATCTGCAAAATTTTGGAAGCAATTAATTGCCTTCTGGAGAAGACCGAGAGGAAGTTATAAAACAAAAAGGCTGTAACAATTTTCTATGACTCTATCAGTCTGTTTGCTATCTTTTGACAGTTATGACCGAACTTATCAAAGGATCATTCTAAGTAGTTCGATGCTTTTCTTATCATTCCCTATTTTGTTTGAAAATAAATCACAAACAACTGAGAGAGAACTAGATGCAAGCATAATATAACAAAGAGATGCCAAAGTCTTTAGTAGTAGACGTAGAGTGCAAAAGGGGAGTAATAGGCCAATTTAATCATGGACAAATAAAACTAATTGTCGTTCCCATTTTGATAAATCTTATAGCTACAATCTAGTATATGTAGATGAGATGGCAATACAAATTACATTAAAAATAAGTGGCTTACCCGAGTATCATCTGATCCGGATATCAACATTGTACCTTTCGAATTCCAAGCCACCGCATTGACACAGCCAAGGTGGCCCTATTCAGACAAGGAGAAACACGATACACAGTGAGGTCAAGAAACAAAAATAGGGTGTATAGATTATTTGTTTTCGAGGTAATGAGGGACATAGAAAATGAAGCAATCAGCTACAGACACATGAAGATCATGTTCGTTGAAATGCATGGGTAGTACCAACAATTTTAAGAAATTCGCGATGACTGCCTCCCTTTTTCAAGAAGTCTAATCGATATATGTATCATCATATAATAAAGGTTTTAAATTGCGGGATATTGCTAACAAGTGTATCGTATGTGGCCAAAATTGTGATTGTGCTGCGGTTGTGGTGGCCCAGAAAACTAAATGTTCCGTCCAAGATCACAATTGCAGACCGTTTTCAAAACATTAAATATAGTGTACAACGATTTGTCAAAGACAAGATGAGTATAAAAGGATTATATGCCTTTACCTTCTACGATCACTTGAGGCACTTCAAAATATACACTTTTTTGTGCATTCCTTCAAGTATTCAATATTCTGTAAACATGCGTAACATAGAGTGCTCGAATTGCCTAAACCCAAACGCAAGTTACGATAAAAACAAGAAATCAAGATGAAGATAAGAACACCCAATTTCGCGTTACTTAACTTAAGGTGCCTACAAAAACACACAAAAACATGCATATGATCGAATAACATTTCGGGAGAATATTCACACGGACGCTATTCCAATTCAATGCTCACATATGACAGAAACTACTACGATGCTTGAGTAAATTAAGATACGTTACCAACCTCTAACTCCCTTTCTTGAGAAAGCCTCCGAATGAGAGAGGAATGAGTCTGCAAAGTGTGATTAACATCCTAAAGAAAACAAGAGGAACATTCACGGGGTCAAGAATCATAAGATACGGCAAAAATCACGAACGAAAATCAGAGCACCCAACGAAAATCGCCATGCACGAGATTGAGAATCGGAATTGGCAAGATTCTTAATCGCGTAGTATGGAGACGCTTTGAATTTGAGGAAGAGAGAAAAGGAAGAAGAATACCAGTGGCGAGTTGAGATATCGAGAGTCAAGAATCGCGTGTATGTTGCCATCGCGAAAGGGAATGGAATCCATGGCAGAAGGCGGTGTTTGGCTGCGGTGAGAGAAAGCTAGAGCAAGAAATTAGTCCCTCACTGGGTCACTCCACGGCCGTGGCGTGAATGTCATCAATTGGAGCTCATGCGGTTACACTCACAATCCTTCCAAACACTTCTTTTCTCTTCTCTTCCAGGTTTCTTTTTATTTTATATATTTATATATAATTTATACTACAGGTCTTGAATGAAAAGAAAGTGTAACAGTGTCAGCTTAAATAAATAAATAAATAAAAATGGTAGGTTTTTATTTATTACATTATAAAATAGAAAAATGGGAGGAGCATGAGGTTTGTTTGGGGAAATGAAAGAGTGAAGGAGTGAGGTGTTGCGTGATATGTAAGCGCCGTTCATCGTGGTGCTGGCGAGGGATGATTGGTTCCTATTGTGTTCTGATTTTTCTGGAACGGTACAGCTTACATGTCCAATGGGCACCTTTTCCGCACTTTTAAAAGCACTTTAACGTGTATAGTTCGGAGATTAAATCTCGGTGCTTTTATCTTTGTTTAAAAATTTAATTAATTTTCAGATATATACTTTTTATTTAACAAAATCTTGATATTTTAAATTATTATTGTACTGTATTTGTATTACCGCACAAACACACAGAATTATCTCAAATTGATCATTTTAATTAAAAGAAAAAAAAAATTGATTGGTATTTATTAGAATCTGTTAATCATTTAATTAAATTAAATAAGTCAATTAGATTAATTCTAATCAAAAGTCTTAAAAAAATATATAAACATATTTCAAAAATATAATTGTTAAAGTTTTTATCAATGTATTTATTATAATATTAATTACTTAATAGATTAAATATAAAGTTACTTAAACATTGAATAATTTTCAAGAAATACACTCAATCGATTCAAACATACCAATAAAAGAAATGAAAAGTAAAAAAAAAATTAAATAAACACTCAGTCTCATGAAATTAAAATAATTACAATTAAAATTACTTGTATATCATAACTCAAGTAACTTAAGTTTTATTTTGGTTTATATTTAGAAGAAGGAGATAAGTTATCAAATGTTGTGGTTTAGTTAAATATTTCAAGTTTTAATTTTTTAAATAATTAATTAATTTTGATGTAAATTAGACATTCTCACTCCATAATCATAAGAGTTTTTATAGAAAAATATTGTTAAAAGTTTACTAAGTAGATTCTCATAAAAAAGATATATGAGTCACAATTGATAGACTTAAGAACTTGTCTTACCTAACCAGAGTTTTTCTCATATCCTACGAATTTCCTCATAGAAATTCTCAAATACACTGACACTCAATTAGATAATATCACTCGTACTTTATCATTTTTCTTTTTGAGTGTTTGGTCGTACCTTGTGTATATAGTTGATCATTTACAATTCTCTCATCTCCCATCTTTCGTCTCCATTTTATTACATAATAAAAACCTGAAATCCTTTCATCTCCCACTTTGTTCTTGTTACTACTCTCTTGTGTCATTGCAACATTTTTCTACCATGTCTAATAGTCTCACACTCTATAGGAGTTGAGGTTTAAGACAATTTAAACATTCATTTCTCTCTCAACACCTTTTGAAATACTTTTTGAGAATAAAACTATGACTGAATACAAATTTCAAAGAGAATAATACATCAAATGTATGGTGATTGACTCTAACAATGTCACTCAATGGACTTAGGATCATAACATTAACGTTTGCATGGGACCGATAATAAGATTCTAAGACGATTCATCAATCCCTTAAGTCATCCATTGGGAATGATCATTCATTTATCTTAGACCTCAATTAAGGCTTATATTCCTACTACACTTAATACTATCATATCACTTAGGAATCGAGATCAAACACTGTTTAATACTCTTTCATTCTTCTACCCTCTTAAACACTTTTTAAAGATAAAATAATGACGAAGTTTCAGAGTGAACAATACATCAGATATACAATAATTGATCTTAACAATGTTATTTGACGAACTTGAAATTAAAACAAAACTCTTTCACCCTCTTCACCTCCATCAGCATAGTATCAAAAGCTCTTGAAGATGTTTTTTGCCCTTGCAAGGAAGTGTATCATGTTAGATCCATTGAAAAGATTAGTGTTGATTTTTTTTTTCATATTTGCCATTGGTGCTTTTAGAATGAGTGTTTTTTAATTCATAACTTTTTTAGAATTTTTAAATGCATTACGTATTATACAATCTAGAATATGTTTTTATTTGAAAAACACTTTAAATTATATAATCCAAAATATGTTTTTTAATCCAGAATGTATTTCGAAAAAAAATTCAAATGGTTTAATTTAAAATATATGTTCAGGATTACATTTAAATTGCATAATTTGAAAAATATTTTTTTGAAATATATTCTGAATTATATAATTTAAAATATAAATTTGTGGTTCAGATATACAAATCAAAATATTAAAATATAACATTTTTTTTTCTTTACTTGATAAAATATTCACGAGTTACACAACCAAAACTTTGATTGAATGCAACACAGACCACAGACACCTCCCACCACCACCAACAGGCACCACTACACAAACAAACCATATCACACTCCACTTTTATTTATTTTTATTAGGGTTATTTTAGTATTTAGGAAATTGGGATGCTGGAAGAAAACATGGGTACAGGAAGCAATGGTCCTAGATCAAATATCTACTGTTACCATGACCCAGCCCAGTAATATGTAAATTAACTGTGAGTAGAAGATCATAAAAAATAAGGCTTTTGATAAAAAAATATTAGGTTTAATTAATTGTTTGAATCCATTGTAACGCTCCCATTTACTGTATAACACTGTTATTAAAATGTAACATAATATATATTATCTAAAATATATCGAAATTTTACATAAACACAGTAATAAATATAATATAGAATCATTCAAAATAGATTGTTTGTCTTATTTATACGTAATTTTTGGACGTTGTTGATATAATAAGAGTATAACTTTCACCATAGGTTAAATTTTTATTCATATCAAAGTTTACTTCTGCATTCTGAATAACCCACTACAACAATCGTGCTAGATTGAGAAATGAATGTAAAATTGATTAAATAACTTGAATTATTACTGAAAAAAATAGAATATATATATGATGATTTATTATTATTATGACACGTATAATTCGTTTGTCATAATAAATTGACTGATGACATTTTGGTAATAAAAATAATAATTATTATGAGGAGTAAAAGGAAATATGTTATAATAAGTTGATTGACGGCATTTTCATAATAAAAAATGTCACTTATTATAACTTGTATAAAAGACTTATCATAATAAGTGAAACATGTTATGATTGGTGTAGTTAACTCGTCATAGTAAGTGAGACGCGATAACAAGATTGAAATTATGTTCAAAATTTATCATAACAAGTTTAGGAAAATTTATAATAGTAAAACTTTATCACAATTATTAGTTCAACATTTGTCATAGTATATATGTTTAAATCCGTAATTTTTGTCTTGATTCAGTATTATTCCATGTAATCCTCTTCTATTTCTCCTCATGCACAGTCTCATGTACATTATTTCTCATCATCCACAGTTGTTGCCTCCATACACCGTCGACACAAGAGGCCATTACCTCTCACATCGTCAACATGAGACGTTGTCATCTTCACACGTTGTCAAACAAGAAAAATAGAACAAGAACATGGAACATATACACCACATTCTTGAAGACAGTATTTAGTCTAAAGATATTTGTTCTCGGACACAAGTGTTTTATATAAGAGTAGCAATTTCTCTAACACATTGCCATGAATTAACATTCTTACCGTAACAACGCAACAACAATAATCAGTTAAATAGAAAATACACACTAAGAACACAAAGAATCATTTTTTTCTTAAGGGTTGATGGCTCGTATTAATATCTCACCTGAATTGTGTGAAACCATTTGGCTGCAACTTTATTGTCTTTTCTCTTGTTTTATTTTTCAAGAAAATTAGTGTAAGTAATTCCTTGTCTCATATATATATATATATATATATATATATATATATATATATTATATATATATATTCTGACTTGCAATCTTATTATTTTCTTCTGGGTATAGAAACTTTGTTGGTAGATTTTAGTTGATGATCAAATCAAAAGTTGTTTAGTTAATGACTTTTCTTTAGGAATTCCCATGTTATAGTTGTATGATGGTGCTTTATGAAAAGAATTTTTGTTGTTTCACTTAGATTAGGAATGTCACTTACTGGACATGGTGTATAAAAATACTAATCTTCTTGTTATAATGAATTAGGTGTTGTACATGATTCTTGAAAGAGCTTATTTAAGATAGTTAAAGGATCAAAATGTTGATCCTTAGATAATGCCATGGCAACCATAGTTAGTTGTAATCTTGATTCATGTTAATGACTTTTGTCGATTAAATTCTAGCAAATTCTATAATTACACATGAAATTTCTACAATTGCCTTTAATTCAGAATTGAAAAATGATATATCAAAACACTTCTAATACTAAATGAGACTTAGAGAGATTAACATGGATTTGAAAATGTTGGTTTTTCATGTAAAATTGCTTTTTCAGAATTTTATATAGGGCGGTAACATAACATTAAAGACATGTGAAAAATTTGCAGAAATATGAAAATTCCTTATTGATAGGAGGAATATTTTTGTTCTGTTCTATGAGTATGTTTTTCCATTCATGTTTTGTCCTAAGAAATATTGAAAAATATATTATTTATATGGAGTAAACCTAACTATTCTTTTATCGCAATAGAGAAGTAATATAAAGCAAAAGTACGAAGACAAGACCAGAAGAAGAGGTGTGATGAAGTAGATAGAGGAATAAGTATGTGATTTGAATTTGAATTTGATAATAAATAGAAGAGAGAGATATGGAATATGAGAATATAAATGTGTGATAAGTGATGACCACTCGAGAATTGTCTATTTGTACATTTCCTTTCATTATCTTTTTAGAGTTTTATTTGATTCCCTTCCCACTAACCATATAATGGAGACTTTACATACAATGTGAAGCACGCCTTCTTCTCTTAAAATGTGATGGATCAAAGTATTCAGACACCTAGTCTTTTGACCCAAAAGTAATTTCTTTTCTGTCTGCAAATAAAAACCCATGCATTTTCTCAGTTCTTTTTAATATATATTTTATTTATATTTTAA